GTTTGTGCTTACTCTGTATTTGCTACTTTGCTATTATTATGTGATGTATCAGGTTAAGTTTGACAAGTATTCTCTGTCTAGTTACCTATTGCTGTATAATGATTCTAGTTTAAAGCTAGCACTGTTTATTTTGTTCATGAATTTGCAAGAACGGCAGGACTTGACCATCCAAGCTCCTTAGTTCTATTAAGTGTTTGCTCGGTGTCCTGAAGACTCAGGGTGGAATCATTTCGAGACTTGCTCACACACATGTCTAGTGGCTGATGCCACGTGGCTAGTGTCAGCTGGCCCTCAGTGGGGGTGTGGCTGAAACACCTACATATGACGTCTTCATTTGCCTAGAGTTTCTTCTCACCTTGGTGGCCGGGCTCCAAATGAAAGCACCCCAAGAGAAGAAGAGCCAGTGGAAGCTCTATCTCCCTTCTCCACCCAGCCTTGGGAGACCTGCAGTGGCATGTCTGCTGCATTGTAAATAGATACCCATTTGCTGACATAGGACAAATTAGTGGTGAGCAGCTTGCTGGTTGGAGCAGGGAAGGTCGGCTGTGGGGTTTTCTTAGATGAGGTAATGAGATAAATAGCCCAATGCAGCATGCAGGTTTGACGCGCCTCAGTTGAGCCTTCTGCTTGTTTAAACTGATCAGCGACAGCTTTATCAATGTCCCTAAAACATGGAGTGTACGTTCTCGGTGCCATTTTATTTTGGTGGGTGGTCTCCCATTCCATTTCGACAGAATGGGACAATCTTAAGATAAGGTCCACAAAGACACTTTGTCCGAGCATATAGCCACCTCTGTTGGAAACGTCTGAGAAATTGTTGGGAGTTCTGTAGACCAGATATGCAGAAAAGGGGCTACACTTTCCTCCCCACAAGGTGGACCAAATCCAGTCTACATTTTGGTATGCTATCGTCACCGTGGACCTTCAGAAGACCAGGTACAGGGTTTGCCTAATCTTAACTCATTTTCTTAAACACAAGTGTCAGTGACCTAACAGAATGGGAAATTGCTCAATCCATTTTCTAATCTGTGGGTTGGGAAATTGGTGATGTAAGGAGAAACAGGATCCTCTTGGTTCCTGAGCCTTCCTATTCCACTTCCCTGAGCATCTTCCAAGTCTGAAGAGAAACCTCAGGGCCAAGAGGAGCACAAGTTCAACCACTGCCTACTTTTCTGGATCAAGAAGCTGGTCTCAGTGGATTCAGACAGCCTGCTCTGCTCAGCTCTAAGGAGCTTTCCTTGCTTCCTCTTTAAGCTTTCGAGGAAATGGTGTGGGAACCTTGTCAGACCTCATCTGGCTTCTCAAGGGGGAAGGCAAATCCAACTCCACATCTGCCCCGGGGTGATGCCTGTGTTCAGACATGCCCCCCCTTCCCTTCTTCTTTACCCTAACCTTGACACTGACCGTTCCTTCTGTGACACTTCTACTTTCCTGTTGGGTTCGGTAATGTGTTGGAATGGCCACACAGAGCTCACAGATAACACTCAAGATTATGGGGGTTTATTAGGGAAGCTAACAGGTTATAAAATATTAAGGATACAGTTATTTGGCCACAATATCTCTCCTCAGCCATGCTCATAGTTCTGTTAATCTTTGGCCCTCAGTCTTTCAGCCATGCGGTCCCTTGGCCTCTGACATGCTTGGTCAAGTGTTGCGAAGCTCCTTTAGTGCTGGTAAAGTGCCTTTGGGACAAAAGGCATCCCACTTGGCAAGCCAGCCTCCTGCCCAACGGTACTCTGAAATATTGGTTCACTGAACCAGGAAGCCTCGTGACCTTTGCGCTGCTTCTCTGCTCTGCCTCGTGGTCTTGACCCTGCTCCTCTGCCACCTCTCCATCAAGCATCTTGCTCCTTTTTCTTCCTGGTGGTGGCCTTCTCTCTTTCTGCTTCTGAGACGGCTCTCTTTCTATCCAGAAGAATGACAGAATTTACCGATACCCCTCTGAGAAGCCTCTATACTTTGTTTGCATGCTCCCACCCTGCCCGTTGGCGGCTGTCATTAAGAGACGGAGGAATCCTACCAACTAATTTCACTTCAACACAGCAATTCAGACCAACATGGACATGCTAGCAAGAGACAGAGAACTTGAATGTTTTAATTCCATCCCAGGGGTAGCTCAGAACCATGAGTTACTAAGAAGAATAAAGATTCTAGGTATGTTTCTGAGAAATATCGTTGTGATTTTTTTTTTGTGTGCTTCAGCGTGCCTACATTCCAATAGCAGTAAGTAAACATTGCCTTTACCCAGACCAGTGGCTTTGGGATTTCTACTCCCATCGAGTTACAGTCTCAAAAACGCACAGGGTCAGTTCTGCCCTTCCCTATAAAGGGGCCATGCTTAGGCATGGACTGATGCTCGTAGTGGGAAACTAACACTGAGGGAAATAGGATGAGGACTATATTCCCTAGCTCATTACAGAGGGAATCTGGAAAGCTGGTATTCCATGGAAGGAAAGCCTCCACTTTGGTCAGTTAGAGGTAAAGTCGAAGTACATCACCCTGCTTTAAAAACTCGTTCCCACACATTCTCCCCTGAACAGCTATGCTGCCTAGAGTGAGCACGTTGTTGATTGTATCTCCCTATAGAAGCGGACATTATCCTTTTGCTTTCTCTTCCCGCCATGACACCCATGCCCCCTTCTACATTCCCCCAATGCAGGTGTCAGGTTTCTTCACCTGTGAGCTCAGGGACCTTATTGTAGATTCCACCCACCTTGTGACGCATGTCACTATTGTATATGCATGTCTACAGGTGAACTATAGATGTCTCAAGATAGTAAAGGCTCGCTCTCACTGCTCCCAGTTCAGGGTGGTCCCTCAAGAGGAGCTGAGGTGAGCATGTTACCATAAAGTGTGTCTGACTCTTTTATTTTATTCTCTCCCCTATCTTTCTTATCCTCTATGACTCTACTATAATCTTTATATATTATCGCGTACATTTACACCATCTGGCCTGTTGGTTGTTGGAGGCTGGTTTCCTCTGACAGGTCACGAGTGTTTTTGTTGATAGACCAGTAGTGGACGGGTTCCCTAAGAAACACTTGGGCGGGGGCTAGGTTTTTGTTGACGTCACAGAGTTTGGGTCTTACTTTTGCAGATTCAGATTAAGAAGGGTGGAGTTGAATACCTGGTGTGTGTGTGTGTGTGTGTGTGTGCGCGCGCGCGCGCATTAGATAGCAGACATGTATCTACCAGGTATTCTGAGGTGTGGATGTGGCTACATTAATCCAAAACCCAGTGCCATTGAGTCCATGCGTCCTTCCAGCCACCATATGTAGAATTTTTGAGGCTGTAAGTCTTTACTGGAACAAATAACCTCATTTCCCCCCCTCCCCCCCCCCAGTGATTGGTAGTCATCAGTCAACCCTCGTGCAAGTATGAGCTGTCCTAAGAAAATACATTTTGTATGCGTAATAAAGGCACTCTGGTCGTGCTGTTGGGTAAGTGTTGAGCTGCTAACCGTAAGGTTGATGGTTCTAATCTACCAGCCAGATTAAGACAGACTTGGTAAAAAGGGCCGCTGGTCTCCTTCTGAAAATCAGTCAATATAAGAAAGCCCTGTGGATCACAGCAGAATATTATCTGATGCAGTGCTAGAATAATGAAAAGATGGCACGGGACTGGGGAAATGCTTTTCTGTTACATATACACACGTGAGTTGAAGCCAACTCTATAGCAATGAACAATAATCACTTGTATAAAATATACAGAACAGGCAAATAGATAGAGACCAACATTTATTAATGATTGCCAGATGTGGGAGAGAGAGGTAGAGGAAGCGGGTCTTTGATTAGATGGCACTAAGTTTCTGTTACAAGGGAAGTTTGGAAGTGGATCGTGCGGGTGGTGCACAGCTTGAAGAACATAATTAATGTTACTGAAATGTACATGTAAAATGGCAAGTAATATATATATATATATATATAAGCTCTGTGTCATAGGAGGTTACATGTTGGGCTGCTAACCACAAGGTCTGCAGTTTGAAACCACCACCCCCCTGCTCCATCTTCATGTAGGGGTTGGGATTCCAACACTTATTTTGGGGACACAATTCAGTCTACAGTAACAACAGTAGGAATAAAAACATAATATATGTAACCCATTTAGCACAGTGGTTGACAATTTGCAAACACTGAATACTTCGTATAATAACAGATTATCTATTTGCCCTGGAGGTTTTGTCATCTTTAGGAAGGTTATGGCTTTCATCAAATACCATCGTGTGGCTAAAACCATCTATTTCCATGGTACATACACAAACTGATTGTGCCATAAGGTAAGTAGTCGTTATGTGTGTTTTCTGTTTTCTTCCACGGTCTACTTAGTGGTCTAGACATCTGTTGGAGTTTGGAGAAAGCCCTTCTTGGGTGTTGATCTTGGGTGGTACAAATGGTCGGTGTGCTCGGCTCCTAACTGAAGGGGGAGGAGTTTGAGTTCAACAGAGGCACCTGGGAAGAAAGGCTGGGGACCCCTTTCTAAAAAACCCAGTGATTGAAAATCCTCTGGAACACAGGTCTACGCTGAGACACTTAGGGAGACACATGTGGTGGCTTCTGCGCAAGGTCCCCCGCTGGCTTTTTGCGAAGGTAATCACTGTGTTGACATTCACCATTTTCTTCCTTTCCTATGCTTTCCAAATCCATTTTGCCACACTTTCATCCTGGAAATTTGCACACAGCCCCTCCTATGAGAACTTCTATAGCATGAACTGCAGCATCTTATCTGATTTAGAAATAAAATTACAACATTTTCTTGGTCTGTGTGATCTATTTGGGTTTGTGTCAATCTGTGTTAATCCGGTAAGGCTATTAAAAAATAACTTTGTTAGAAGGTCACGTTTGAATAGCATTGTTGATTTACCATATCCATCTGGTATATTCCACCTCTGATCTCTGTAACCCGGGATTTTGAGGACAGGTAACAATGAGTTTTGGCTTTTCTAAAACATTGGGTGACCTCTAATCCTCACTTTCTGTCTCCCATCTCTCCCCTCCTCCCAGGGCTGATAGTCTACCTAGGAATGATGGCGGGGGCCTTCCTCCTGGGGGGCCTGGCAGACAAGTTGGGCAGGAAGAGGGTTCTCAGCATGTCTCTGGCCATCAATGCCTCTTTCGCCTCCCTCTCCTCCTTTGTGCAAGGGTATGGAGCCTTCCTCTTCTGCCGACTCATCTCTGGAATAGGGTATGTAATCTACTTGCCTTGGTCCATACAGATCAGCGGGGCACTATTTCAATGGAACACCTCTAAGTGGGACCTGCAGCAACCCTGCACCGAGTTATCTGTCAACTTGCAAAATCCAGTGATGGGAAACCTTAGAAAGGAGCAAGGTTGTAAAATCAGTGTATCTGACCGAAATAGCGTGAGACTTTTCCCCAACAGTTAGTGAGGAGCTGCCTGCTAGTCAGTCTTTGCTCAGCAGTCTTGGTTTACTAAAGTAGGGTGGTCTCTTGTGGGAAACCTGGCACCCCTCAAATCAGTGGGTTCGTTCATCAGAGAGCTCTCAGGGTGGAGTATAGGGCAGCGTTGTTTCTGCTATGATAACTTCTCATATATGGCTTGATGCTTTCTGGTGTTTTCTTTTTGCAGTATTGGAGGTGCACTGCCAATTGTGTTTGCCTATTTTTCGGAGTTCTTGTCTCGGGAGAAGAGAGGCGAGCACCTCAGTTGGCTGGGCATCTTCTGGATGACTGGGGGCATCTACGCATCTGTGATGGCCTGGACCATCATTCCACACTACGGTGAGTCCATTGCCTTCCATTTGCCCAGGGGCCCAGCTTTCTACAGTGTCTGCTGCCAAACAAACTTGTCTGTCCTCAGGCTTATTCCTCATAGTTGCAATCACTTCCTGTGGGAGACCGTGAACTTTCTAGAGCATTTCTCACAGCAGACATATGGCTCGTGCACACATCTTTCTGGAAACAATACAGTCAATCTGCCTTTGTCACCCTCACTCCCTGCTCCCTCATTTAGAACATCTCTCCCTCTCTTCCTTTTGTCTCCCCTTCTACAGCAGAGTGGTTAACCGAAAGATCGGTGATTCCACCCCACCGGCCTTTCTCATAGAAAAAGAGGTGACTGTGTTTTTATCAACATAGAGTCTGATAGGGTTGCTATGAGCTGGAATTCACTACGGACAATATATGTTTTCAATATAACCTCAAAGGTGCAATGGTTAAGGACTCGATTACGCAATACAAGCTTGGCCATTCGATCCGACACAGCAGTTCCCCGGGAGAAGAATCTGGAGAACTGTTCTCAGGAAGATTACATCCTAGACAGCCCTATGGGGCAGTTCTACTATAATAGACTTGACAACACCAACAAAACGCCCATCTTCCCATGTTTCTTCCTTCCCTTGCTTTCAGTTGAAAGGATTGCATCCTTCATTTGTTCATGGGCTTTAGTGACTCCATTTGAAAGCAGTTGGTAACATAGTGGGAGGGGGTAGGATCCCAGAGGAGGCAGCAGATAAGTTGGGCAGGAAGAGGGTTCTCGGCATGCCTCTGGCCATCAGTGCCTCTTTTGCCACCCTCTCCTCCTTTGGGCAAGCACATCCACCCTCGTGCTTGCCATCCGTCTTGTTGGGCTGCAGAAATGTGAGAGGAAAGTGACCCTTAGAGACGAGGTTCTTGTTTCAGCCAGGACAATTGTATTTTCCTGGGTAATTGCAGACACTGGGTTCTCTAGGTGGCAGCCTTGCAACAGTAACTTTAACTTTTGTTAAGAGGGAAGTAGGGAAGAGGCAAGACTTTTTAATTTCTTTAATTCTTTTCTTTTATTATGCCTTCTGAGTGCACTCAAACCAAACTCACCACCATCAGTGCCAACTCATAGAGAGACTGTAATTGTTTAGGGGAGTGGAAAGCCCTGTCTTTCTCCTGAGGAGATGCTGGTGGTTTTGAATTGCCAACCATATGGATCACAGCCCAGTGAGTAACCACTACACCACAGGGCTCCTGAGTTATACCAGGAGTATAATCCTATTAGATCCCTTCAACAGCATTTTGTGTGGGAACCGAGAGCTGGGTTACCCAGTGATTGGGAGTCTAGGCCTTGCTCTCAGTTAGATTTCTGCAGTCGCCGAGTGTCCAGTCCAATAGTGTGGAATAGACAAGTGCACCCCAGAAGCTCCCCAGGAGTGCCTGGGGGATACAGGTGGTTAACTTGTTTGACTGGTAACCAAAAGGTTAGAGGTTTTAGTCCACTCCGTGGCAACAAACAAACAAACAAAAACAAGTTCTAGCCATCTACTTCTGACAGAGCAGTCATTGAGAACCCGGAGGAGCACAGTTATTCTTCTAGAGCACACGGGGTCATCATGGTTTGAAGTTGTCTTAATAGCAACTGGTTGGAAGCTACCTGACACTTCTCTGCCACCCATTCACTTCCTTAATGCCCTTGTTTTATATCTGACCTTCCAGCTACCAGGGGCTCCATGTCTATATTTTTAACAAGATTTGGTCTAGGTCTAGATAATTCCTACGGTATTAATTAAGGTGATGCGGAGCACATCACTCTCAAAAGCTAATAAACTCTGAGCTCGCAGAGGCTTACAGTATGAGAAGTTTCTTCCTCATGTAAAGTCCAGGCAGAGTTCCTGATTTGCAGGTGGCTGTGTTCCCACTGTAGGTCATGGCCTCAGACTCCTTCAATCATGGGATTCTACCATTGGGAATATGTGCCTTACAAAGTCTTTGTTTTAGTGAAAGGGCATGGGTATTGTACATCGTTTCAAGGGGTAGGTCAGCAAATGGAGCACGACATCTCTCCGCACATTCATTGCTCAGACTCTGCTGCAAAGAAAACTGGGAAATGCGGCCTAGCGGAGTGCCTGGAAAATAGAAAGTGGCTTTGGGAACAGAAGAGCATGTAGTCTGCACCCTGTCTAATATTTGATAACCCTTGGGGTCTAGATCTGAAGCAGAGAAGAAACATGAGCAGGAAAAATTGACCAGCTGAAGAGTTTCCGGATCATTCTAGCATTAAAGGCAGTTCTTTATCATTTTAGATACAAAATTGTATTACCTCTGATATTAGTCTATGCACTTTACTGTTCACGTAAACACACTTGAATATCTGCATTCTATGCTTCCGGGTATATGGTTCTGAGAAATTGCCTCCCCCGCCCACACCCCCACATACACCAACACACAGTTCTTGATAGAATATCAATTCCTCCTTTAACGGACTCAAATGTGGCATTGCTTAGGAACTATTTCCACAGTTAAGTAAAATGATTGAAACACTTTTACAGGGGTCCAAATAAAACCTGAACAATAGTGGGGTTGTGTGACTTGGGATAAGTCACTTCACTTTGTTAAAACCATTGTTTCTTCACCTGCAAAAGGTGATCATTTGCATTAGCCCTCGCTTTCCCCAATTCCCGGGCTGCAAAGAGAGTGTTGAGAACAGTTTCCAGGTGAGCCTCCTACTTGAAGTGGCTTCTTTCTGGGAGGATGGGTGATTGTAGGCCTTTTCCTAATTGCAGATCCCGTGGTCTGTAAGGAAAGCGTTACACCACGCTACACCAAGTCATTGCTTCCTTTGATTACATTAAACGACATTGCCAGCCAATGTCATTCAACCTTCCACTCTATTGCCAAGCTGGGATGATACTAGAGTTGGCGCTACTCAGTGCAGTGACTCATTATGCCATCCGTCATGGGCAGTCCTGGCCATCCTCAGGGTCAAGTCCCCATAACACTGGTGGGTACCCTTGCCTACGCCTGCACACCCAGCCCTCCCCTCTCTCTTGGCTAAGGTGGAGATCCTCCTCTCCCTCAATGGTAGGTGCCTCAGCCCATCTACACACTGAGTGGTGAGTGACATGGGTGGAGGTGCAGGTGATGACAAGTTACCAAATTGGAAGATGGCACCACCCTTGTGATGCCACTGCCTTGGTAGCCCGTCCCCTCCAGTCCACTCACCACCATGGGCCCTGGTGTCACCCACTTTGACAGTACTGGGGGTGCAGTCTGAAGACCTTATCTCCACAACCCGAGTAGTTCCACTGCTCTAGAAGATGGCAGGTCCTCCTTGGGATAGGAAGTGGGATTAATTCCACCCATGCTCCATGTCTATACTACAATAGGTATTATTGACTGAGCTGTTTATCCAAAAAATATGTGTTAAATTTCTGGTTTTGTGCTCAATCCTGTGTGGGAAAGGATTTTTATTTTATTATGTTCATGAGACAATGCCAGGTTAGGGCAGGTTCTAAACAAAATAGACACAGATACACACACAGAGGGTGAGACAAATGCCACCTAATGATTGTCTGCAAGACAAGGGACCTGGGGTGACTGATAACACAGGAATCAACACAGCTAAAACTCAGATTTGGATATTTAGTCTGTAGAGCTATGATAACAGAGTCATCATGTATAGTACTTGTATGAGATTTACCAGCTCCATTTCCCTCCAACCTACCCCCCACTCCCCACAATAGGACATTTATCTATAGAGCCAACCATCTAGATTTCAAATACTGGAAAACTTACAGAGAGAGAGAGAGAGAGAAACAAAACAGTACAGACAAAAGAAAAATAAACAACAACAACAATAACAAAATAAATCAGAGTAAAACCCCAATAGAAAAGAAACAGGAAATATTAAAAACCAGGACACATTTAAAATATGCCAAAAGGGATATTTTAAGTGATACGGTGTTCGATTTTAACCTGCCTGGTTCTGCACCAATCCCTCTCCATTGCACTCTGCATGCTCACAGGTTATTTACATCCCCAGAGGGAATTCGCTGGAGGCTCAATCCATTATCTTTTGATGCTTTCTGTATTGTCGAATATTTTGCCCATGGACTCCTTCCATAGGCAACTCCAGGCTTGGAGTTCTTCTTCTTCAGTTCCTTCACCTTGAGATATGCTGACTCTGTCCCTCTTTCTATCTCAAGATCTCGGCACACTTCAGTACAATACATTGTCTTCCTGAGCTGCCCTTCGAAACTTTCTGTTCAGATATTTCACTTCATCATTTCTTCCATTTGTTTTAGCTACTCTACATTCAAGAGCAAGTTTCAGGGTTTCTTTTTGTTGTTGTTGTTGTTTTGTTTTTAATCGTTTTATTAGGGGCTCATATTACTCTTATCACAATCCATACATACATCAATTGTATAAAGCACATTTGTACATTCATTGCCCTAACATTTGCTCTCCACTTAAGCCCCCAGCATTAGGTCCTCATTTTCCACCTCCTTCCCTGCTCCCCCCTCACTCATGAGCCCTTGATAATTTATAAATTGTTTATTTTGTCATATCCTGCCCTGTCCGACATCTTCCTTCACCCACTTTTCTATTGTCCGTCTCCCAGGGAGGAGGTCACATATAGTTCCTTGTAATTGGTTCCCTCTTTCCAACCCACCCTCCCTCTACCCTCCCAGTATCGCCACTCTCACCACTGGTCCCGAAGGGATCATCTGCTCAGGGTTTCTTCTGACATCTACTTTGGTCTTCTTGTTCCTTCCTGTCTTGAAAAGACCCTTTGCTATCTTTCTGTATGATGTTCTTCCACAGCTTGTTAGGCTTCTGTCATTCGTGCTCAGTGTTCTTGAAATGTTTTCTAAATGGAGTGGGATATATTCAAGGTTATATGTTGGCTCTCATGGACTTGTTATGATTTTCTTCAACTTCAACCTGAAAGACCATATGAAGAGACAATAGAGAATGTCAGTCCCACGTAAGATCATACGAATTTGGCCTGTTTCCCCCTTAAGTGGCAGGAC